GGGTCTGGAGGTGGGTGGAATGGATGGGAGGGAGGGAGGGAGGGAGGGAGGGACACAGCACATGGTGGGGTGGGAGGGGAGGGGAGGGCAATTCGGGATTTCACACTCCTTTTTCCTTTGTCCTTTTGGGATGGTCAGGACTCCTACAACTCGTGTCGCGCGGCACACCAGGCGGCTCAGGGTGGTCGCGGCCGGGGGGGCCGGGGCCGAGGGCAGCGCCGCGACAGTGGTGCTGGCGGGCGTGGGCGTCGTCGCGGTGCGGTGCCGAGTGTGAGTGTGGCTGTGCCGTCTGCTCCCAGTGGTGGTGGTGGTGGTCGTTTTTCTCCCTTCTTCGTTTCAAAGGCCGCGTAAGAAAGCCTCGAGCCGCGCGGCGCGAACCCTTCCCGGTTCGTTCTAGCTAGCGTCTGTCTGTGAGTAAGCGTATGTTCAAATAGTAAGGCCGCCCTTCTGCCGTCCGTCGAGTCATGGCCAGCGGCGCGCGAGGGGACCAAGGCGGCAGCGGGCCAGCTGGCAAGAAGGGCCGCAACCATCAGGTAAGCGGGCACACACATCAGCCGTCCGTGGATGCTGCAACAATAAGGATGGATGGATGGATGGGTGCTGCAGATCCGGAGGAAGGATGAGCCGTCAGACTCAGTGGACCAATACAAGGACGTCTTCATCCGTGTGTCGCAGAAGGTTTTGAGATCTCTGACCGACGAGATGAGATCCATGAGATGCTGCACGCACGTTGCCCTTGATGGCCTTGATGGATTCAGAATGACGACCAGCAACTGCAGATCACGAAGATCGGAAGCGTAAGCAAACCAACACGCATACCAACAGCACCTCACCATTTGCAATGGAATGGATGGATGGATGGATCCCTGTTCGTGTGTGTGTGTGTGTGCATATGTCACACGTCATGTGTGTTGGTGGCGCCTCCCTCCCTCCCTCCCTCCTTGCCTGCCTGCCTGCCTGCCTGCCTGCCGTGCACCCAACCACACAGGGCCGATATGTAGTGAGTGGGATATGGCGGGTCCACATGGAGCCTCTCACACCACACCACACACCACACCACACCGCACTACGCCTCCCCTCCCCTCCCCTGTATGCAGACAACGAACTTCGTCGGCCTGGCCAAGCTACACCCGGTCTTGAAGGACCTAGGGCTGGAAGTGAGCGGGAGGGAGGGAGAGGGGGAGGGAGGGAGGGAGGAAGGGAGGGAGAAAGGGAGAAGACCTTACTTATCGCATTTCCTCCTTTCTTCCTTGTGCTATGTATGTGGTTGCTTTGCCAGGGCGAGTTCACCGTGCTCCCTGCTGACGGGGTGAGAGATGGATGGATGGATGGATGGGTACGACAAGTCGGTCGAATGTGTGGTTGTCACGGGCTTCTCAGGCGGACGCTGTTCAGGAGCGCAACCCCACCATCCCTCAGAACTACCCGAACCCGCTCACGAACCGTCAGGTACGCGGCCACGCCACACCCCCATACACACAGACCCTTACATACAATGACGACCGTCTTGTCTTGTGTTGCCTTGTGTTGTCTTGTGTCGTGTTGTGTCAGGTACGTGTGTGTCCGTACGTGCAGTCCGTTCAGCCAGCGCAGCTCACCACACACAACACACTGCCACCCCGACCACAGAAAGACAGACAGACAGACAGACGGGGTCACTCAGTGTTGTCCTCTCTCTTGTCTTTTGTATTGTGTGTATGTTCGAATGTAGGTGATGAGTCTGTCTGTTCGGCTGGTTCGGCTGGCGGCGCGAGAAAGACGCCTACGCAATACGTTCGAGAAGAGCGCAGCACTAAGGTGAAAAAAAAGCAATGACACTGAGTCAAAACTGGCTGAGAGCGTTGTCTCCATGGCGTGTGTCTGTCAGATCGCTGTTTACATTTTATATTTGTGGATCTCATTACTCGGAGCTCTGCCACCCGCGCCGTCTGCCACCCGGGGAGCCCTGGACCGCGACGCCCTCTGCCCAGACGGCATTTAGAAAAAATGATCCCCAGGACGTGGGCGATATCTGGAGGGTATGACCTGCAAAATACTGTGCGACGTCGTCACGGTAAGAGTAACGGCACGCCACACGCGTGAGTTGCACCATGCGCATGGTCCGTTGTCGTTTCTTTCAGACGGCCACCTACTTGGAAGAGCTGCTGCAGGTCAAAATCGCATTCGAGCTGATTGTGAGAGTAAGTCACCGGACGATGAATTGGCCGGGGGCTGTCTGAGGCTTCTTGTCCGTTCGTGTGCAGAAGAAGATTCCTTCGCACATAGCCCTGATGATGCGCAAGGCGCTGGTGCTCACCAATGTGTTTCCGGAGTTAGACCTCGAGGTAAGTGGAGGGGAGGAGAGGGGAGGAGAGGAGAGGACCTCTGCACTCACATACATACATCGTTCTTTGTGTGTGTTCTTGTTTGGCTGCATGGCTGGCTCCTCTCTCAGTCTGACTTCGTTGTGACGCGGGTGGGTCAGAGACAAGGAGACGACACACACCCATACACACCCACACAGACCACACTGTGTTGTGTTGTCTTGTCTTGTCTTGTCTTCTTGTTGTGTGCGGGTGGTGTGTGTCAGGTACGTGTCACCAATGTGTTTCCGGAGTTAGACCTCGAGGTAAGTGGAGGGGAGGAGAGGAGAGGACCTCTGCACTCACATACATACATCGTTCTTTGTGTGTGTTCTTGTTTGGCTGCATGGCTGGCTCCTCTCTCAGCCTGACTTCGTTGTGACGCGGGTGGGTCAGAGACAAGGAGACGACACACACCCATACACACCCACACAGACCACACTGTGTTGTGTTGTCTTGTCTTGTCTTGTCTTGTTGTTGTGTGCGGGTGGTGTGTGTCAGGTACGTGTGTACGCTATGGGTGCATCCCACTCACTTCATCACACATCCCACTAACCAACACAACACACCAAGCCACACCGACAAACCAACACACCACACCAATGGTCGCTGATGTGGTCCCTTCAGGTCGGTGGCCGTGGCCGTGGCGGTGGCGGTGGCGGTGCGTCTGCTGCTGGGCGTGGCGGCGGCGGCGGCGGTGCTGCTGCTGCTGCTGCTGCGTCTGGTGCGTCTGCTGCTGGGCGGGGCGGCGGCCGTGGCCGTGGCAACAACACGGTACACACACAGACACACACACACACACAGACACACACACACAGAGAGAGAGAGGGGGAGGGGTGCAAGACCCGCATACACATCTCACTCATTTAATTGCCCGTCTATCTGTGTGTGTGTGTGTGTGTGTGGTGCTGGTTGTGTCGTTCGGTGACGGTATACATCCCATGCCTGCAGGCCGGTAAGCAGCCACAGACCAAGAAGGAGGCCGCCGCACCCTCCACACCCACACTAAAGACCAACACACAGCAGCAGACACACACCGGCAACGGCGAGACCGCTGCGCCCGTCAAATAGCAGCAGTCCGCAGCGCCGCCACCACCACCATGACGGACCACTTCATCCTTGGCCACTATGTGGTGTTGGGCGTGTCGCCCTTTGCGAGTAGGGAGGAGATCAAGGCGGCGTACAAGAAAGCAGCTTTCTGGGTAAGCGGAGCGATGCATTGCATGCTGGAGGGATGATGTGACGTGCGGATGCGTGTGCATGGGTGTGTTGCACTGCAATGGGTGTGCTGTCATTAATGGGATTCGATGCAGGCGCATCCTGATAGGGGTTTGTGAAGGACGGCTACATGTTTGACTACGTCAAGCAGGCCAGGGATGTCCTTCTGGACGACGAGAGGCGCCGGGAGTACGACGAGGGGCCGGTAAGTAAGTGGGCCATGCACGTGGGTCGTTAGTTAGTTAAGTACACGACCGTGTCCATGTGGCTCGTGATTGACTGCAGGGCGTGTGTGAGGAGGACGCCAGAAGGTCACCTTCTTGTGGCGGAGAGAAGTCATCGAGGCAACAAGGAATAAATCTCTGGTGTTCTCTTTTCTGTGGCTGGGTGGTGTGTAGATCGCTGGCTACATTTTATATTTGACCGACCGATGACGGCCATTCGATCGCACTGCCTTGCCCAAAATGATCTGCAAATGGTACGTGAGCTGTCGAAATATACTATTGTACTGATCAAGTCCCGTGTCGTGTCTCGTGTCTGTGTCTACAGATGGATCGCCGTCCTACCTACTTGGTCCACGTCTCCCGGCGGCCAGCCAGGTACGTAATTGAGGGAGAGGGGAAGACGCTACAGGCATTTATTTCATCGTGTCTCTTCTCGTCTGTTTGTTGTGTAACGCATATTTGGCCGCTTCGGCGGCCATCGAGGCTGAGACGTCTGTTGGGCAAGGTGCCCGACGACTATGGACCCACAGAGCAAGAGAAGACCCCACGACCAACCAGGTGCGTCTGATGCACATTCATCCGTGTGTTCGTGTGTGGGTGCGTCTGCAGCTGTCCGATTTACAGAAGCACTTCGACATGAGAGCCGCCGGGGAGGAGAGGCGGCGGGAATATGACGAGGAGCTGGTGAGAAAGTGGGGCATGCAATGCACGTGGGTCGATAGTTTATCACACAAAAAAAAGGAGGGTGACGCACGGGATGTCCATTCCCCTCTTTGGTCTGTGTGTGCGTATGCTGTGTGGCTCGTGATTGATGCATCCGTCCTGCCTGCAGGGCGTGTGTGAGAAGAACATACCGCCACAAGGCCACCTACTTGTGGCGGAGAGAGGTCATCGAGGACTTGCCGGTAAGTTCAGACAGACTGCCTCAAATCAGTGAAGGAATATATGACGCACACACCCGTACACATACGCACTACACACACATTCTTCTCCACATGTCTGTCTGTCTGTCTTTGTCTGCTGCTGCTGGGTGGGGCGGCGGCCGAGGCGTGTCGGCTGCTGGGCGGGGCGGCGGCCGTGGCAACAACACGGTACACACACCCACACACACACACACACACACATACAGAGAGAGAGAGAGAGAGAGGGGGAGGGGTGCAAGACCCGCATACACATCTCACTCATTTAATTGCCCATCTGTTTGTCTGTGTGTCTGCGTGTCTGTGCGGTGCTGGTTGTGTCGTTCCGTGATGGTATACATCTCATGCCTGCAGGCCGATACGCAGACACACATTCAGTCAGTGCACAGAGAGAGAAAACGTCCATGTACACCCACCCACTGTCACCTCTCTCTCTCTGTGTGGATGCGTGGCTGCAGCCCCGCCCAACTCGAGCGGCGTGCCGGACAACGTGCGTGAGGCAGAAAGGCCCCCTCCCCCCTGACCCACACACCCACACCCACACCACAGACAGAGAGCAGAGAGCAGAGAGGGGGGGAGAGAGGGCGTGCAGTGCACCACCACCCACACTGTCTATGTGTGTGTGTGTTTGTGTGTGTGTGCGGATGGCTGTTGACTGAATGCAGGACGACGAGGAGATCCGCGACACAGGGCACGGGGACCGCCTACGGCGCCACCTGGGGGAACATCCAGTACCAGTGACTACAAATGTGCGCCATACTGGTACTGGCGCACATTGGTAGTACAAGGCGGCGTACAAGAAATCACGTTTCTGGGTAAGCGGAGGGGCGCATGGCTGGAGGGATGATGTGACGCGGATGGCGCCGTGCGTGTGCATCGCTCGGTGTGTTGCAATGGGTGTGCTGTCATTGATTGCATTCGATGCAGGCGCATCCTGATAGGGGTTTCTTGAAGGACGGCTACATGTTTGGGTACGTCCAGGAGGCCGGGGCCATTCCTCATGGACGAGGAGAGGCGGCGGGAATACGATGAGCTGGTAAGTAATTGGGCATGCACGTTGGACGCAGGGAAACTTGTTTGTGTTCCTGTAGGGTGTGCGCGAGGAGTGCCGCCACCTCAATATCCCCATTTGAAGAGATGAGGTGTCTCGGCAAATGCAGGTGAGTGCACACAGACTGAAATGAATGAAGGAAGGAATGAGTGCATGCCCAGTGTGCTGGCCCAGTGCTCCCCCCAATTTGCGGCCCTGTACAGAGCCAGGGCAGAGGTGCGTGCTGGTCTGCGGCAGAGGGGTGTGCTGGTGGGCAAGGGCCAGAACGAGGCCATCTGGCTGGGTAGCCGGCTACCGTCCATGCCGCGGGCCTGCTGCTGGTGCACTCGGTAGCGACGCGCGGCCGCACCATCATGAGGCCCCTCACGGCCGGCGCAGAGCAGCACCCCTTGGTTGAGAGCGAGAAGGAGATGCGGGCGGTGTCGGGCAAGGTGTCGGGCACGGGGAGAGAGGACTTCATCGAAGATGATGGTCACCCCATCAAGCTTGACGGCACCCCCGACAGCCCCCTCGACGAGATCATCGACACCCCCGGCCTCGACTTCGCCAAGAAGTGGCGGGACGGCATGTGCGCCATAGCTGCCAAGGGGACCAACTTCCACGAGGAGCACCGCGGCACACTCAAGGAAGTCGAGACCAGGCTGTTTGAGCAGCTGCACAAGCTGGAGGCCCCCGCCCTCCAGCTTCTCGAGCCAAGCACCCGCCGCACCCAGCAGGACCACCCAGCCGCAGCAGCACAGCCACCACAGCCACCACACATCGCCCATGGCCATCACCGAGAGGAGGGGGAGAGAGAGGAGGACGAGACGACAGTCCACCCACAGCCGCAGCACCAGGGGAAGGAGATGGAGGCGGTCGCAGTCGTGGCGGTGCCCGAGGAGCCCTGTGTCAGCCGCAGCCCCAGCCAGCCCCATCATACAGACACAGCCGCAGCCACATTCGAGCAGGACAGCACCACAGAGCCCGACGACGTGCCTGAGGACCCCTTCCCACAACGGCCACACGCCAGCCCCGCGCGCACTGCCATGGCCCTGCAGCCATCCGCACCCCTTGCCCCTGAACAGCCGTCTGGCGACGTCGATGATGTCATCGACGTGGTTGACGAGGACGAGGACCAGCACGGCGACGCAGCACCACCACCTGCCCCAACGCCTACCCCACCCGCACACACCCCATCGCTGCCATCCCCGCTGCCCTTTGTCAAGGACACGCGCGGCACCCGCATCCCGGCGCACAACGTGCCCTACCAGCCGGGGGCGTCAAGTACGTGAGCGTGGGCGGCCACCACGTTCGCGAGGGCTGGGTGCTCAATGGATGGATGGATGGATGGCAGCCGAGCGTTGCCTACCCGGGTCTCTGGGAGGTGCGCTCGGCCCACCAGGACCTCGTCATGCGGAGCTGGGCGGCACTCACCGACCTCAAGGAGGGCGCCGAGAGGGTCGGCAAGGGCATCGCCAACGCCATCGCAGGGCTGTTCGGCCAATGAGGAGGAGGGAGGAGGAGGGAGGGGGGGGAATGGCGGACAGGGAGAGAGACAGATAGGGGAGAGAGGCACAGGCAGGCGCATGCCACTGATAGATAGCGGAGCGAGCAGAGAGACAGATAGGGGAGCGAGCGCGGAGCGAGCAGAGAGACAGATAGCGGAGCGAGCAGAGAGACAGATAGCGGAGCGAGCAGAGAGACAGATAGCGGAGCGAGCAGAGAGACAGATAGGGGAGAGAGGCACAGGCAGGCGCATGCCACTGATAGATAGCGGAGCGAGCAGAGAGTTGCGTTGGTCCGTTCTTTAGGGGCCTCCTGCCGCCCCCAGCCTCGCCACACACACCCACACCAGCACCAGCGCATACACTCACAGCACATCTCCCCCGCCATCCCCTCAAGGACGTCGAAGGACGGCCTCTTTGGTTGCTCGCCATGTGCAGTGGGAATGCAGCCGAGAAGGAGACATGACGAGACATGTTTGTGATGTGCTTGGTGTGTCTGCAGATCGTTGTCTACATTTTATATCTCGAAGTCTCATATTCCACCACCTTCGCTCGCGTCCTTGACCACTTCAGTGACCAAGCTGTCGAGGTGGCTGGCCAGATTGGGCCATCTAGGGCCACACCGACTTCAATACCATCGAGGACCCCCTCTTCGCCGCGCTCGAGCAGCTCAAGCTCGCCACCCTCCTGCCCACCTGCTGCTGTGTGACGACAGAGGTGAGATGGAAAGAGACACAGTAGAAGATTGCCGTACGGAGACATGGTCTTGATAATGTATGTGTGTCTTCAGATTGTTGCCTACATTTTATATCCGGCGGCCTCTTCCCTCTACATTCCGTTTTCACTGCCTTGTCGGCCCAGCTCGAGATAGCCGCAGTCGGTCCCGCGTATTCGCATTACCGCATCCGTCGAAAGGACAGTAAGCCTTACGAGTGCGGCAACTGGTCATCCTTACGAGAGTATGGCACTCGGTGTGTGTGTGCGCAGCCGTACAACATTTGACCAGTTGCCGCCCGCCTTTCAACAGCTGACCCGCAGAGCGACGTCGACCCACGACTCATCAAGGTGTGTACACGCTCACACACACTCCCCCCACCCCACCCCACCCGGCCCCCAGCACATGTGTCGGTCCTTGTCCTCTGTGCGTGGTTCATCCAGTCACACACAGACAGGAAGTTTGTGTCCACGCCGCTCTCCCACACGCTTCATCGACCAAGCAGATGCCCTGCTGCACCTCAGGACACGCAGCTTTTGCGGACACGGACAGGCCACCAAAGGCAACAACTGCATCCGTCCACGTGTGTTCTCGTGTCGGTGTGTGTCAGGGAACCATTGATAATGGCCCTCATAACGAGGCCGCGGTGGCGCTATGTATGGTGCCCGAGGAGAGGATAATACATACTCTTGGAAGAAAGGAGAGGATAATACATATACCATCGTCATGCCCGTCAACTTAGGGCGTCTTTCTTGCTTTTGCTTTTTAGATAACACAAATACGCTCAACGAAGCCGACGTGCAGTAGACGCTCACCATTGGCCGCCCCGTCCGACCCCAGGACCTACCCTCTACACCACCGGCGAGTGAGTGCATACCCTACCCGTCACATCTCATCGCAGATGAAGTCATTCATGGCCCGTGTTTGTCTGCTGCAGCACCCCCGACGCACGCATACAGATCCCCTCACTCATATTACTTTATCAAGCTCTCCCCCCCCCTCCCCGCGCACAAGAGAGCAAAAGGTGCTCTCGCGGCCGATCGATGCGTACACATGTGTGTGGGGGAGTGTGGATGTATGGGTATGGATCCACTTGTCTTGTCCTCAGGGGCTGTACACACATTGATGAAGCCACCCACAACATTTGGATACGTCCCCGTCGGCTGCCTGGCTGAGTGGGTGGGCATACTGCAGCAGACGGGCAAACAAATCACAGGCACCCGGCTGCTTTACAAGTAAGGAGGCAACGGATGGAGAGGAGTCTGTCACCTGCTGCTTTGTGTGGGCGGCTGGCTGCAGGGCTACGGTGGACGGCTTCGAGTTCACCGACATGCTCACCCGCTTGGGCGATGCGAGCTGCCTGCTGTTCCTCACCCGGAGCAATGGAGGCATGCACGGCTGCTTCATCGACGACAGCATCCAGCCGCCCCTACTTCCACACTCTCACGCGGCCACCGACCACCACTTCACGGTAGACGCCCTGGTCTTCAAGGCACCTGGCCCCTCCCACCCCATCTTCCAATCCCCGGCCGTCACACCCCAGTGTGTCAGTGTCTCGCCAGCGGCCGATGGCATGTCAATGGGCGGCCAAGCTGAGAGTGGGCCGGTCGGTCGCGGCCAATTCGGGAGTGGCTGGGGCTGTGGACGCCCGCCCTTGTGGGGCAGGTGCAGGAAGCGACGGATGGACGGTGCTGTGTGCGGGTGAGATGGGAGGAGACGACAGCAGCGGAAGCCGGGGCCGGGGGGTGCCAGATAAATGAGTTTCTTACGAACGAGGTAGAGGTCTTCACGCTGCTGTAGACAGAAGGGCCAAGATGGTGCACAAGCGATGTCATGTATGTCGACGCCCCTCATGGCCGGCGTCAAATTGGTGTGTCTGCAGATCGTTGCCTACATTTTATATCTCGAAGTCTCATATTCCATCACTTTCGCTCGCGTCATTGATTACTTCAGTGACCAAGCTGTCGAGGTGGCTGACCAGCTGTCGAGCAGCGGAAGCAGCACGAGCAACAGCCACCATACGGCGCCCCATGTACGTAGACAGACAGACAGACAGACAGGCAGGCATACAGCACAGCAGAGAGGAGAGACAGACAACTGACGCACCAGCCGCTCACCGTCACCGTGTTTGTCTGTTGGTTGTGTGTGTGATGTATGCAAAGGCAGCAGGCTCGTATGGGGTCTGGTGGATATGGAGGGCCTTTCGTGGTGCGTATGGCGGCTACGTACTGGCAGGCAAGCGCGTCAATTGTCGACGCCGTGCCCTTCACTACTGCAGGGCCATGGCGCCAAACACGGCTAACTTCAATGGCAACCATGGCGGCTACGCGTACCTCAAGACGGTAGGAAGATTTTGGGAGATCTGTGGTTGGTTTGATCGCCATTTTCCTCTGCTTTGTGTGTGATGGATGGCCGCATTTCGACCACTGAAAAAACATCTGGCGGCTACACGTAGGTCGGTGCACAACACGTTGGCGCTTGCGAGAACCTGCCCAGTGCTTGAACAAATCCGGCAAAATACTCAAGGTCATGGATGGATGGATGGATGGAACAGACAGACAGACAGACAGACAGACAAGCGCATGCCCTCATGACACACACGACACAACCAACCAACCAACTAACACAGAGACGGTGTGTCTGTGTGTCTGTGTGTGTGGTTCAGGACGGGGCTGCTAGCGGTGCGGGTGGCCCGGTGCACGCCGTAGGTGACGGGGCTGTGGTTGAGAGAGTCTCCGAGACGACGGTGCCGTCACCTGTACTCAACCCCCGCACTGACGGTATGTACGCAGACATAGAAAGGCAGGGCAAGGTTGCCACACCACACTGGACAGACAAACATTGCATTCACTGACTAATGAATGAATGAATGCAGGTGGTGGCGGTGCCGTTGTCGGTGTCGGTGTCGGTGTGGGTGGTGGCACTCAGCTCAAGGTACACGATACCAAAAATCTCCAGGTAGTGCGCACACACACGTAATTGCCGGCAGTGCTGTTGTGTGTCGCAATGGGTGTGTCGGGCCGTGTGGGTCAGGCTGCAATGGGTGCGGCCATGTCTAAGGGTGTTGATGTTGGTGTTGGAGTCGCTGGGGCCGCCCCGGTGTCCAAGATGCCCGTGTTGCAGGGACCGTCTGCCAGCCAGGTACAGTACGCCACACACAAGACAAGACACAACACAGCACACGGATCTCCGGGGTCCTTTCTGGTTGCGTGTACACATCCATCTGTCTCTGGTGCTGTGCTGTGTTGTGTGCTGTGTGTCAGGTGTGTGTTGGTGGTTCTGCTGGTGCCAGTTCGAGCCCGTCGTCCAAGCTGCCCGTGTCGGTCTCAAAGCTCGGAGACGTGATGCCGTTGTCGAGTACGGACACACACACACACACACATGCCCCACACACACAAGAATGAATACAACACACACTGTGTCTGCTGGTTTGTCGTGTGAGTCTCGTATATCTTTGCAGGTGCTAGTGGTGATGCGCCGCAGTCGGTGTTGGCTGTGTCGCCCAAGACGACTCCACCATCCATGAGATGAATCGACATACATCGTCTCCCACACGTGTCTGCCTCTGTGCTTGTGTCTTTTCTCAGCTCGCCCAGGCGCTGCTCGCGGGCGGCTCGGGCTCGACTTCGACTTCGACGTCCAAATTCACCAAGCCAACTCGTACGCACGATCAAACAAGCACTCACACACAAATTTTCTTGCGTCACACCTGCTGTGTGTGTTTGCTGTTGGTTGGCAGCCGCCATGGCGAAGCGCAAGGCGGCGGCGGGCGGTGGTTCCGCAAACTCACCCAGAACGTGCCCAACTTCCCCCGAAACGACCAGAAGTCCGTCTGGGTACGCGAAGAGACAGCCATTCATCCATCCATCCATATAAATGAATGAATATGTGCGTGTCGTCCAGAACGACGGATTCGAGAAGCCCCCTCCCAAATAAGACCAAAGCTACCAGGGGATCGGCAAGATCGGAAGCCCCCTCCCAAATAAGACCAAAGCTACCAGGGGATCGGCAAGATCGGCACCCAAGAACCCGGCTCCAGATTCTACCCGAGCCTCGACACGTCTGTGGGACACCGACCGCCGGCCACGCCGCACCCCGCAAGCCCAACAGCACAGACGGCGGTGCGGAGGGAGAGGATGGGACAGAGGAGGAGGGGGGCACAGAGGAGGAGTCTTAGTTGCAGAGGGACAGAAGGGCCGGGGACCAATATTGAGTGAGAGGGAGAGAGAGAGAGAGAGAGAGAGAGGAGGTTGACAAGTACAAGGACAAACCCAAAGCCACACCACCTAGCAAGGTCAGCCCATCCGATATATGGCCGCTTGTGTGACGGTTCTCGTTCAGGATACTCACGTGACTAGCAAGATGTTGACGAGCCCTGCAGCGGGCAATGTGTTGTCGAGTATACACACACGGGCATATGGTAGTCCATTCTGGCCCGTGTCACTTTGCACCGGATGATGCCTGGCTGGCCAATTCTCGTGTGGTAGCCGATAGCCCCATTAGTGCATGGCGGAAAGAGAGACAGAGAGCCGAAAGGCAGGCACACAAACAAACACACACAGAGAGAGAAACAGGCAACCTCCTTTCAAGAGCATCAATTGGCACGGCACCCTGTGCGTACGTGTGTGTGTCCGTGTGCCTTCTCTTTCCCTCAACGACCGTGGCTGTCTGCTTCCCCCTGGCTTTCCTGCCTGTCTGCTGCGTGTGATGACCCTCTTCTCTGTGGCTGGCTGGGTGTCTGGCTGCCATGCAGTCGCTACCCTGTCTGTCCGTCCGCCTGGCTGTCTTTCTGGCTGGCTGCCTGCCTGCCTGCCTGCATGGATGGATTGATGGATGGATAAACGTGGCTGTGTGCATGCGACTGACTGCGAATGGTATGAATGCGTTGGTGGGCGGACCAGTAGACCTAGTGCATTGGTGGTGCATTGGTGGTGCTTGCCTAGCTGGCTGGCTGGCTGGCTGGCTGGCTGCGTGCCTGGATGGCTGGCTGGCTGGCTGGCTGGATGGATGGATGGATGGATGGATGGATGGATTGGAGGAAGGGAAGGAGGGAGGGAGCTAGGAAGGCAGAGAGAAAGCAATTGCAGTCTACATTTTATATTTCCGAGTCCCATCTTCCTTGGAGCATGCACAGCAGAGACATGTGTGGTGGTGTTTGCGTGTATGACTCGAGCCATCGACTATGAGAGACGGATTGGACCTTTCTGAATCCATCGTGGCTGTGGTTCTCACAGTTCAACACAGTCAAACGCACAGACACAGTCACAGATGCCCGGGCCCAGCACAGTTAGTCACTGCTATGGCGCAGAGCTCTCTTTCCACTCCTTCTGCAGCCTTTGCAACGGCGGATTCTCGAAAGCCCGATACACCGTCCCGCAGCACACCTCACACACCATGTCGCTCATGTTGCCCTGCTTTCGCTCTAATCCCTTAACAAAGCAGCCCTCACAAATGCTGCAGCCACACGGCAGGTAGGTGACGGGACGGTCGAGCGGGCCGCTGCACTGTGGGCACTGGAAGAAAGAATCGAGGCAGCGGACTGCTGACAGCTCCCTAATCTCGGTCTGTGTGGATCCGTCAGCAATAGAAACTGGAGGGGGGAGGGCAGGCTCAGCGTCGCCAGCCAAGGTGTCTATCGTGTCTATCGTCTGGGCCTCTGAGGATCGGCAAGGTACTTTCTCGGCTGCCAAGGACTCCAAAGCCCTTTGAAGCTCATCACATGTAGTCTGCAGCTGGCTGCATTTGGCGTCCCATGTGTCAATCTCGCGTTTGGAGTGCCTTTCGATGGTGGATCGCATTGCAGATTCTCGTCGTGTCTCCTCCGTCGCTGCGGTGAGGTCGGCCTCCAGTCGCTCAATCTGCAAGCAAGAAAAGCTAATAAGTGTCCACGTCAGGACAGCATATCTAGACCTCCTTTATACCTTTCGTGTTGCAGTGGCAAGAATGTCTTCGTAGAGCATGTCTTTTCTAATAATCGCATGTCTCTCGTCCGCCAACTGTGCGGCAGTTTCGTCTGCGGCTTTCTCGCATGCACTATAGCGCTGCAGTCCAGCATATGGACAGTGCAGCCATTGCTTTTTGCCTTCTCTTTGTGTACGCCGCCTTCTCACCTCGATGTGCTGCTTCAGCTGTCTCTCAAGGTCTCTTTTGCCCTGCTCAAGCTTTTCCCTGCCCTGTTCCAGCCTCTCTGCCCACTCCTTCTGTGTGTTCCACATCTGATGGAGCCTGTCCCTCTCCGCGATCACCTTGGTCGCCCTCTTTTTTGCCGTGCTGCACCGTGCCCTGACGGCAGCAAGCTCCGCTTCAAGCCCCTTCCTCTGCTCCTCGCTCTCTCGCAGGTGCTCAGTCAACTTCTGATTTTGGGCCTCCAATTGCCGGTAGATGTGTGACGATTTGATCCGGCTCTCGAGGCTAACGTGTGGCCGAGTGGGCTCTTCCTTCTTGGCTTTCGACGGCATGCCCCGCAGCAACAGATCGGAGAGACTGGCGGAGAGGGTGTGGTTGAGGGGAGGCGTCAGATGGAAGTCGTCGACCGCTGCATCGTGGTACTTGTGCGCCCTGGCAGGCTTGTTGTCGCGGTCTTTGTCGCTCGAAGGCGACGTGCTGGTCCCGTCGGCAGACTTAGAGACGGCGGGCAGCTGCCGGGCCGGGCGGCTGCTGTTTCCTCTCCCTCCCTCGGAGTTGAGGACCTGTCTCAGCCGGACCACCTCCTGCCGATCATCCTGTGCCAACCTCGACACGTTCTGCAGGCTTCTGGTGATGCTCTGAAGGGCAAAATCTCGCTGGACGAGCTCCCTCTTGGCCTGCTCCAGTTCCTCAACGAGTGCCGCTGAGGGCTGGTGAGCTGAAGCCGATGGGCCTGTACTTGGGCGGGGCTCTGCCGATGTCGTGTGATTCTGATGCATTATCGACGCCCAGAGGTCTGGAAGGAGAGATCTTGTGCTGAGACTCCGTCTTTGAGACTGGGGGGGCCGAGCCATTTGCAAGCCTGAAGTGCGGGGCCTTCGAAGTCAAAAGGCGCCATGGCTGCGGTCCAGGCGGCCACCGTGATGGCTAATCTAGAACACATGCACTCTGAGGTACTCCAAAACGTCTCTCAGTGACGCGTATCGCACGATGGGAGTTACTGTACACTACTGTACACGCACCTTTCCTTCTTGGCCTGTCCTGTGTTGATCTATCGTGCAGGTCAGCTGCCTGATGTACCGGTTGTCGGCGCTGGACCCATCGGACCTCTCCTCGCAAGTATGAATGGATGGAGGCAGGCTGCAGCATCTGCACCTGGATGCACGACACACTCACTGCCGCCGTCTGTCTGTCTGTCTGTGTATGCGTCATGCAGGATTGTTTGGTTCACATGATAGCGGCATCGCAACGGTTTGCCAAGTTGAGAGCCACACTCAAGGCCCTCGTCAAGTCGGCCACCTTCCCACAGCCACGCACCGACGCATCGGTCAGTGCACCACACAATGGCATCAATGCATTCAGTCATCGCGATGGACGGGTGTCCTTCTCTCAGGCCCAGTTGGTGGACCTCTCGCCTGACGCCATGTGCCACCTGCAGGGATCCGCAGACGTGACGGTCGTCGGCCGCCTCAAGACCACGGCGCGGCTGATGAGAGATCACATCCGTCAGGCCTTCCGAAGCCGACTGACCGACGCCATCGACAAGGCGGGTCTGACGGGCGTGGTGCGATTCGCTCCCCAGCTGGACAACGATGGTGTGATGACGGCTGTGTGGCTGATGGAGGAGGGCGGCCGGTGGGACGAGGTGCGCAAGGGGCTCAAGGGGGCGAGGCAGTGTGGCTACTGCCAGCTCCCAATCACCATCGAAGCTGTAGATCTGCAGAAGCACGACACGAAGAGGGTCAGCGCAGACACACAGGATGGACGAAACGGTCTGATCTGCTCAGTGTGTGTGTATGTGTGTGTGTATGTGTGTGTGTGTGTGTGTAGGCATACTTAGCGCTGCCCCGAGTGCCGGCCCAGTGGATGATTGTCGGGCGGCACGTAGTTTTTCGCCGTGCTGATGGCCAGCATGCCGGCACGTTTGAGCTCTTCTACCATCCCACTACCAACGAGATCCGAGCCATCCGAGACGAGCCCGAGTTCGCCATGACACTCAACCCGCGCCTCCCTCGCACCTTCGTGCATCACCTGCAGCAGCACCCCTTCCAGCAGCACGCCAAGCCCGACGACCCGCCCGTCCTGGCGAGCTTCAAATACGACCACGAGGCGGGCGAATGGGTGCCAGACCTAGGGCTCATCGATGGATCGACGAGCGGCTTCATCATCACCATACTTCTCCACTTCGTGCGCTTCACTGGCCCCCCGCCAGCCAGCTCGTCCGCGGAAATCAACCGGTACACGTACATGCGGGGGGTTCAGTCTGTATGTATGTGTGCGTGTGTGCGCGTTTGCGCGTTCAGTAGCGCGGGAGGCGGTTATCTCGACAAGATGTTGACGGGATCACCCCACACGCTGCTGGAGGGGTGCACAGCCGCCATGGCGCGGGAACGGGAAGATGGGCGGCATTCTCATATCAACCATCTCCTGATGTCCTTCGACGACCCCTTCATCGCATGGCTGACCTTCAAAGTCCCCGTCAACCCTGACGACCTTCAAACTGGTGAGTAGCTAGCAGCCAGGGGCCAAGCCAACATACCCATTCTTTACGTGTGCGTGTGGTGTTGGCAGTGAGGGTCACTCTTGCGACTTACGAGCAGTCAGTGGGCACTCCCGGCGACCCATGGACGACCAGGTATCCGCGTGTGATCAGTCTGGCTCGGCGGCCACTGGGCCCCGTCGCACCTGTCCTGCTCGATGGCCAGACGCCGTGAGCAACCATGATTCTGGTGAGGCTGGCATGGTATATGGGATGGTAGAGGGAAGTGCATGCCTCTCATAACGACCTGTGTGCGTCTGACGTCGTCTGTGTCGCAGGTGGTGGCGGGTGTGGCCGCGTGGCAGATGGCTGGCACAGCACATGCCCGAGAGGATCAGTAGCTGAGTGGGATGGGTGTACGGTGCGTGTGGCGGACGGGTCGATACGTCGGCTTGTGCATAGATGGCCAACACACAAACGCTGGGGGGTCAACATAACATGCATTGAGATTCAACTGGATCTACACGCACGTCCACTTGCTTAATCAACAAGGCACATCACATGGCCCATCTATTCATTCGTCCAAAAATCAATCTGACCCAAGGACACCGACAGCATACACCCACACAGCCTGCCTGGCCGCCCCCCTTTCGTCACACGTATAAATCAGTCAGTCAATCCTCGCTGTCAAGCACTGCCACCTCCTCTGCCGAGAATGCCTTGTATCTCTCCAGTGCCACACGAATGGGATGCAGCAGCGCTATGATGACGGGAAACATCACACCAATGGAACTCTCCTGCAGACAGACAGGTCACAGATCACACACCACACCGAGACATTACCATAGTTCGGTCGGTCTCTGTTGCCTCATCCTCACCTTGAGCAGCCAGACGGCGGCCAGGCACGCGATTTGCGCGGCCGTGAACAGATGCACCTTCCGCAATGGCACCACATTGGTCCTGCGCACGTCGCAGATCCAAGGACAGGCAGGCCGGCAGCCTATCTCTCCCCCATGATGTGCATGTCTGTGTGACGTCTGTCAGTCCGCTTTACCATGGCCTTTTGGGTGCGAGTTTCGGTTCGGTCACGAAGAGCTTGGTGCGCTGCCACATCTCATTACCAGCAAGGGTGGACACACCCAGGAACAAGAACAGACCCTGACACACAACACAACACAACACCAATCACCTGTGCTCGTTTGGCCATCGTATGTGTACTGCCTGGCTGACCTTGAGTACAGCTTCAGGCAGGAGCGCCAGCTGCTGTCTGAACAGTATCACTGACGTCAGGATGAGAGTGTGGATCCCCAGCCCTGTCACACGCTGCTCGTCACAACCCACGACAGCACTGCTGTCATCGCCCCCCTGACACAGCCATAGAGACAAAGACTGTGTGTCACGCGGCTTGTATTCTCTCGTCGCACCTTTGAGTAGTCGAAGTTCATGACCGAGCGGACGTGGTTGAGGGACCGCACAGTCGCGGCCACCAGCCAAGGGAGCCCCAACACAGACGAGATGCCTGATGACCGACAGGGGCCAAACAGCTTGACACTCTCGGCAACGTCACGTGCACCGGCGCACCTGTGGTGACGGTGAGTGTGGCGAGGTCCAGGTCATAGCCGTTGGGCTTCTTGAGCTTGTGCTTGTTGCTGTTGACCAGACGAACAGTGATGTTCTGGTCCATGAAGAGCAGCACCGTGCACATCAGGGCGGGCAGAGCGGCCCCCCAACGCACCCACAAGGGCAGCGACGACAGGCTGCGCACTGACAATCCACACAAACAAAAAACACCGAGTGCTTCTGTCGTCTGTGCTCGTTGTCTTAGACTTACGCATCAGCCACGGTCTCCCAGTGGACGTCGTGAGAGCTGACGGCATGCTCAGGGTGGGCAGACGGATACCGTACCTCAGGTAAGCCAAGTACGCCAGACCACTGCCGCCAGCGACAGCAATCGTTGGCCCGAAGTCTGCAGTCTTGTCGCGGATGAATCGGTTGAAGAAGGGGCTCTTCCTCAGGCCAGACAGCAGCACCGCCGCGATGAAGGTGAAGGCGCCGATGCCGGTGGACAGGGCAGCGGTGCTCGCAGACACTGAATACGCCCAGCGCACAGAAATGGAAACAGACAAATGCTCATAGAGTTTCTTCCACATTTACCAGCCGTGTTTGTGAAGAGGCCTGAGAAGTACACGAGGGCCTCGTACATGAAGATGACCGATATCAAGAGGCTGAAGATCTCGTCCGTCCATCGCGTCAGGTACTTGATGCTGTTACTCATCGAGAAGACGGCCGCAATTCCCAGGTAGAGCGTGTTCCACAGGCCGATGCACACATAGGTGGGCAGGAAGGGCAACTGCATCGCCTGACACCCCTTGTACAGGGCCGAAGTGAAGGCCAGCACCGGCCCGGTGCTGCCGATGATGGTCAGCGGCTGTGCAGAGAAGGCCGCGTAGATGAGGCCGAGCATCCCCGTGGCAACGATCATCTCGATGCTGCCGATCTGCCCACCGGTGGCAGCAGCCATGGCCGACCCGAAGGCCACGGCGGGCGCCAGGCAGCCGAAGAAGAGGAAGAAAATGGAGCTGAGGGCCTTGAGGGAGATGCCGTCCACTATGTCAGAGCGATAGAGGGCATAGCGGGCCTTCGCGTCACGTGCAATCCCACGCTGATCAAAGACAACACACACACCAAGCCACCAAAAAAGCGTAACACCGCCTCACATCGATGGATGTGTTTCTCACCCAGAATGGCTCGACGAGGGGTGCAGCCTCCAGTTGCTGCGGCTGCTGCGGCTTCTCTTGCGTGACGTCATCCACCAGTGCAACAGCAGCTGCGCTTGGCCTGACCAGGGATGAATCAGAGGGCGGCGTCTGCGGTAGAAGGCGACTAACAGAGCGACGATGGAGTGCTGGGAAAGCAAACCCTGCCGACGCAGAGGCCTCATTGCCATTAGCTACGGTGATCAACACAAGCGCCAGCATCAGACACCACCTCATCTTGGATCTGGGCCGAGGTAAATGAATAGATCGCAGCCAAATGGCAGAGGGCTGCCGCACAGGCCGGCAGGACTCCTCAGCGCCGACCTGTGTGCCAGATCTGAAACGATCTCAAGACGAGCTCGCACTTTTGAGCTCGGAATTTTTCTCCCCCCGAGAAGACCCGAAGGCTTCAGTGCTCACCCAATGCCAGCTGTATCTGAAATCCAAGGCGTTTCGCAACTGCTGATTCTCGAAGGAGCGGCGCTTCTGCTTGTCTTCGTGTTATTTGGAGCCCTTGCTGCTCTCTGTGCTGCACGGAAGAAGCGGACTGGCCATGCTCCTCGGTCGCTATCACTCTTCTCGGCCGATCTGGGTCTTCTGTCCTCCCGGCGAAATTCACGTGCATTGCTGGAGCACGTGCGTGGGTGGGCTGGTGAGGAGGGCGGCGTTTTGAGGCTGCAGCTGCCCTTCAACCTGAAGACCTTCTACTGCATCGCTGACCCAGTGCTGATGCGGCAGATGTGCGTGTCACACAACGACTGCTACACCAAGATGCACGCCTATGGGGTGAGCCAAAGAGCCAAGCAGACATCGTCGTTTCTATGGTGTGGCTGTATCCAGGTGCTGGAGACCTTCAGAAAGACTCGCCTGTCCTACAGCGGCAAGGGCAAGGCGAGCGAAGCAGGGGGCAGCGACGCCTGGCCTGTGGTCCACCAGCTGGTCTCTCAGCTCCTCAGGCGCCCCGATGATCGGGCTCTGTTCCAGGCGCAAATCGACCCGCTGATCGACGGCTTCGTCCACCAGCTGAAGGCACACGAGATGGCGGACTTTGCAGTGGCTTTTCGATCCTTCTACTGGAATGTGGTGCTTGTGGAGGTGCTGGGGGAGACCGACGAGGAGCTGAGGCGTCTGTATGAGGGGGCGTGGAAGGCTGTCATCGAGCAGATCGACGATCCGCTCACACACACAGTGTGGTACGCGTCGCAGACAAAAGAATCGACACCAGGGCGCTGACAGGTGTGTGTTGACGCAGGTTTTGGCACAGACTTCCTTTCCTGAGGAACATCCGATTCCGTTCCCTCTGCCATGCCCTCCGGACAGCTGTCCGCCAGCGCATCGCCGCCCACCCCTCTGACCGGCCCTGGTGCGCCATCGCCCACCTGAATGCGTCGCACCCGTCGATGAGCCTGGAGGACAGGACAGAGGTCATCCTGGAGCTGCTGTTCACCGGGGCGGCGTCCGTGTCGACCACCATCGTATGGACACTCTGGCACCTGGCGCAAGACGAGAACTGCCAGTGGCAGGTACATAGACAGAAGGGGGAGGGAGAGAAGCGTCTTGGTGGGGTGGGTGGGGATTGTTGTCGATGTTATGTTGTTCGTTAAGGGGTTGGTGCGTGACGAGATTCACCGTGTGTGCGGCCTCAGCCGTCATGCAGTGGGCTTTGAGCACGTCGACAGGCTGCCCATCTTGCATGGCGTCCTGTTGGAGACACTCAGGTGAGCACCGGCTGACAAGCAGTGATCTCCCAGCCAGTGCGTCGTATTCAAGGCGTCTTTCTGTATGTGTGTTAGGATGTATCCACCGATCCACATCGGCCGCAAGGTGGTGGAGGATCACACGCTCGGCGAAACCCTCGCCATGCGGAAGGGATGCGACGTATTCACCAACCCATGGCTCGTCCACCGGTGAGTCCTCCCTCACGCCGTTTAAACACTGCTTTGCACTCACGAGGTTTGTTTCTCTGTGTCTGTCTGTGTGCAGAGACGAGAGCATCTGGGAGAAGCCCCACAGTTTTGATCCGTCACGATTCCTGACAGTCGATGGGAGCCAGCAAGGCCAGCAGGAGGCCCTGCCGTCGTCTACCGCCAGAGTGTCGCCGCCCCGCCACACCAAGGGCGCCCACGGCCACTCGCCCGTCTTCTTCCCCTTCTCAATCGGCAAGAGGGGCTGCCCAGGCTCTGGTGTGGCCTTCCCCCTCATGAAGCTGATACTCGCCAAGCTGCTGGCCGACCACACGTGTGTGCGGGCGGAGGGTGCGCCCGAGGCGTCGACGGAGCCTTCCCTGATGCTGCCGCTGACGCCGGTGAAGGTCTACGTGCGGCTAGAGAGCGCTGCAGACGGCAAGAGTTGTGGCGGTTAGCTAGATTGCCGGACGGCACCCACCCTTTTGTCTCTGTTTTCCTTGTGTATAGCTGGCTGGCTTTCTGCTGCACGTGTCAAGTGTGTGGATAGTCATTCATTCAGCGGCTGTAGAGGCAGCGCTGCTGCTCAGCTCAGTGAGTGGTGGTCGGTGAATGCTCCCTTTTTGGTGCGCAGCGTAATTCATGTGTGTGTGTGTGGGAATGTGTGTGTGGATGTGTGTGTGTGTTTGTCATTGAGGGCTGTGGAGAATCAGCAAAGCTGCTGTTGTGACCCATCATGGTGGTGTGAAGGAGGAGGGAGACAATCAATGAAGCTGCTTTTGCACATGAATGAGCGAAGTCACGTACAGTCTGTCACACTCCATGGGTATGTTTGCAATGGCCGTGGCTCTCCGTCTCATGCAGGGCAGCGGCCCATCCAGGGTTTCATTTGCAGGGTTCGGGGTTTGGTGGGGTCTGGAACGCGCCACAACGGTGCCCACACGAGAGAACCACTAGAGCAGCAGCAGCCGAGCAGCATCAGCCATGCCGGCGTGCATCGTTTTCCAGCCCAAGTTCCAGGACGGGAAGTGGGTACGTAAGTGGGTGGAGCTCTGGGAAGGCGCCATAGCGGGCAAGGGCAAGGGTGAGCCCGTCCTCCTCGGCGTCCTACGGCAGCCCAACGGCGCACCCGTCACGGCCGCCGTCAAGCGCCTCTCGCCGAAGGAGGACGGCACCTTCGACGACGACGAGGTGCGAGGGCTGCAAATCGAGGAGAGCAAGATGCTGCAGATGGCCGGCCGGCCGCCATTCCTGCCGGTTCTCGCGGCCGCCACCCATCCCCACAGCCCAGCCACCTACCACAAGAGCGACGGGACGAAGGAGGCCGTGCTGTGCATCGCAATGGAATACCTTGGTGAGCCACATTAGATTAGATCAGATCAGAACATATCAGATGTGTATCCCTGTTTGCACACTGGCTGCCTGCAGGCCCTGATGGGTTTGTCGAGACGAACAAGCTGTTCGGCTGGGACGGTGAGGAACGCCCCGGCTCGTTCAACCTGCTGAATGTGGCCGAGCGATTCCGCAGCAGCAAGAGCAGCTTCGAGGAGAAGGTGGAGCGGCTTCGCGAGGACCTCAGGGCCATCACCGTGGCCCTCATCCTGGTCACGCAGGCCCACCAGGGAGCCCTGTCACGCGGCGCGGTTCTCCTGGATAGCTTCTACAGGAACATCATGCTGCCCCGACGCGTGCTGTTCGTCAAACGGCACCCCCACCGCTATCCGGCGGACAACGGCGTGCGGGCCATTGACCTGGGCAACATGGTCACGGTGGACCCCAGCAGCCGCAGCGCCTTCATCCCTCTGGACCCCGACACCCAGGCGGCTCAGCATCAGCGGCCCGGCAGCACGAAATGGTTCCGGTCGCCCGAGACCGTGGTGCTGCAGTCCGGCAGGCCCGCTGACTGGCCGGAGGGGAGGGAGGAGTTCAAGGACGCCCTGAAGGAGGTGCGAGAAGACCTGCACGCCAATAGGGTGCTGCTGCTGCACCCCGACGGCCGAGAGGAGATCAGGGTGGACGAGTCGGTGGCGGTGTATGGCGTCTCGAGCATCTTTCATGCCGTTACCAGAGGGGTGGCCATCAACAAGGGCACTGACAAGGCAGAGCTGCGCACCGCCGCGGGCCTGGGCAGGCCCCTCTTGCAGCATGACGGCCGCCCCCTCTCCTACCACGGCCAGGTCGACAGCCCGCTCGACACCCTCCCCCTCAAGTCACCCCAGCTGCAGTACGCCGAGAGCTGGTTGGACACCATCTGCCGCATCACAGCGAGGGGCATGAGCGCGGACATGGCCAACCGCGGAACCCTCAGCGACATCGAGACGGAGCTCTTCAGGGCCCTCGCGATGCTCGCACCCCAATACAAGGCGTGCAACGCCCGCCTGGTGCCCACAGTGGGGGCCATCAACCAGCATCCCGTGGCGCACTGGCGGCCAAGCGCATGGACGGGGGAGTGGGAGTGGTGAGAGCCGTCCGGTGAAGTAGATGATTATGGGCGCGTCATCTGGGAGGTCCGGTCGGGTGACCAAGACCTCATGATGGGCACATGGGCACTCGCCACGGACATCAGGGAGGGCGCGGAGCAGCTCGCAGAGGGCATCAGGGCCGGCGTCGAGACCATCGGCAGGGGCATCGCACGCATGTAGAGCGGTTGGGGCAAGGGGGCCAGCTAGAAGGAGGGCAGAGAGGAGAGGTAGACGATTGGACGGACGGATGGATGCACGGTGCTGATGCTGCTGTTTTTCGTGCGATGGATGCCATGTTACATGCTATGTTTTGTCCACCAAACGAATGTGTGTGCTGTAGCTCGTGTGTGCCACAGACAGTGTCTCTCAGCCATGCAAGAGGTCGTTGCATGGCTGAGGGGCGGAGGGAACGTGGCTGCCTTGTCGCTGCACACAGGACACTCACTCGCAGACCGTGGAGGGTGGGTGGGGGTGTGGGGGTACAAAGTTGCGATGCTTTGCTGCACTCTTTGCTTCCATTGGCTCAGCTGTCTGGCTGGCTGGCTGGCTGGCTGGCTGTCTGCTGGGTTTGTGACGATCCTACTCTCTGTGGCCGTCTGAGTGGCTGCCTCCCTGCCTGCCTGGGTGGGTGGACAGATTGGATGGATTGGAGGGCATGTGCATGGTGAGGGGCAGGGAAGGGAATGCTTGTTGTGCAGCTAAATGGACACGGGAGTGGGTATGGACTCAGTCTGGCGTGCCTGCGTGTACAGTCTGTCACACTCCATGGGTATGTTTGCAATGGCCGTGGCTGTCCGTCTCATGCAGGGAAGCGGCCCATCCAGGGTTTCATTTGCAGGGTTCGGGGTTTAGTGGGGCTTGGAAGATGTTCGTCACACGCCACATTCCTCCCGTCCGGATGGCTGCAAACCGTTGGCGAAGGTGAACGAGGCGGGCCGGCAGGAAGCAGAGAGACCTTGGGAGCGCCACGCATGGTGAGGCGTTTCTTCAGGCGTTTCGGCTACTGCATCTAGGTGAGAGAGATTGAGAGAGAGGCACTGATGCATCCATTCCCCACGAAGGCTCATGCGTAGTTTCCTCTGCGCTCGCTTTGTTTGTCGCTCGTGCAGGCGTCTTGTGTCAATGGCGGCTTCCTCCTCTGCGGCTGATACGGACCGGCGAGGAGAGATGAGCGGCGACGCGTCGGGAGGTGCTGAGAGTGCCGCCCAAACTACTTCAACAAAGAGGGTGAGTGTTCGTTCGTGTACATGTGTAACTAACTTGTGTGTCTGCGTGTATTGATGCAGACGGCTGCTGCTGGAGATCCGTCTGCTGTCCAACGGGCCTGTCCATCAGGACGCCTCTTCTCTGTTTCCGTCCGTGGCGCGGTAGGGGAGAGCCTGCCACACCCGCGCCACACCAGGTACTGTACCACACCCACACAAAGTGTCTGTGGCCTCTCCTCCTTGATTGATCTTCCTTCTCCCATGCATGGTTGATGCGTGTACGCAGTGGGTGTGTGGATGTTGGTCTTGTTGGCGGCGAGCGTAGCGTATCTGCGGCGGGAGATGGCAGCAAGCATAAGGAGCAGCACACCGATCCTGATGCTGACGACGCTCACGACCCACCTCTCAAGTGAGATGACGACACACGACAACACAACACAACGCAACACGACACGACACATCCATCCATCCATCCGTCCATGTACGTGTCACTTATGTGTTTGGTGTTGTGTTTGGTGTTGTGACATGGATGTGTCAGGTCTGAGAGCACATTTCCACCAGGAGTAGCACCAGCACCAGGCCCGACGCCCACACCGCCCGACGACTCTCACGACATCGGCGGCCAGGTGTCGTGTGAGTCGACCAGTAGCACCAGCAGCGCTACTGTGCCTCCCTCAGCAGCGTCCGCTCACCAGCACCAGCAGCAGCATCAGCAGCAGACGATGAGCATGTCGGCCATCGTCTTTCAGACCGGCCACAGGGCCGAGTTTGAAGAGGGCCCCACTCTCGGCAAGGGCAAGGGTGAGGCTGTCGTGCGGGCCAAGCTTTGGCGGCCTCTGCCGTGCGGGGACGGCATGCCAGTCGAGGTGGCCTTGAAGCGGCTCACCCTCCTGCCCAACAATCCCCCAACCCAGCAGCAGGGGATAGCGGAGCTGCAGGCCGAGGCCAAGGCCATGCGGCGGATGGGGGGGTGGCCGCCCTTCATCCGCCTCTTGGTGGCGGACACCGACCCCGGCAAGCCGGCCATGTACGAAAAGGCCAACGGCACTAAGACCGCCGTGCTGTGCATAGCCATGGAGGTGCTTGAGGGTGAGTGAGGCAGCGAGCGAGCCACGCACTGTGGGCAGCCAGGGGGGAAGCAAGATCAGGCCAGAGCAGATAGATCAGGGCACCGGGACGGCGGGTCATGTGGGGCGGGCAGGTCCCTCATTGTGGTCCGTGTTTGTCGTGCTGTGTTGTGTGTGTGTCCTGAATGCAGGTGATGAGTTCGTCGAGGCCGCCAAGCAGTTTGGGTGGGCGGAAGTCAGCGACCTCACCCCATACAACGTGGGTGCGGCTGTGGATCGCTTCGAGCGCAGCATCGACACGAGCACACTCGAGGAGAGGGTAGAGCTGCTGCGGCAGGACCTCCTGGTCATCACCCGCGCCCTCCTCCTCGTGGTCCAGGCCCACGGGGGAGCCATGGACTGCGGCGTCCTCCACCCAGACGGCTTCTACAAGAACGTGATGATACCCCAGACGACCCTGCACGGCAAGAGGCCCCTGCGGCCATACCCAGCCGACAATGGCGTCAGGATGATCGACCTTGGCAACATCATCACCCTCAGCGGCGCCCACAGCAGCAGCAGCACCGGCAGCAGCCGAACGGGGACGAGCACCGGCAGCAGGGCCAGCACTCGACAGCCGCCCACCTTCTTGGGCCCCGCCGACCGCACGGCCCTCGTCCCGCTGGACTGTGCCAGGCAGCTCAAGGAGCTGCAGATTCCCTGCGGCACCCGCTCGTTTCAGGCGCCGGAGACCATCATCTCTTTCGGACGAGCTGGCCCATGGAACGAGGCGCAGAAGGCCGAAATGCCCGGTGTGGCGGACGCGCGGGCCAAGGCCCGCAACCAGCTCCGTGCCAGAGGGCTGCTGGTGGGCAAGGGGGAGCAGGAGGGCGTCTGGGTGGGCGAGGCGACCGCGGCATACTGCTGCGGACTGCTGATCCACTCAGCCGCCACTCGGGGCCGCCCCATCGATGACTCCCTGGCGCCGGGGGAGGAGGAGGAGGTTCGCTTCGAGATTGAGCTGCGCGCCACTGCGGGCCTCCCGCGTCGCAAGCACTTCATCGACAGCCGAGGCCGCCCTACCCTCGGTGACGAGAAGAGCCTCGACAGCCCTCTGGGCGGCCTGTTGGACAAACCAAGCGGCCTCGAGTGGGCGAGGAACTGGCTGGACAAGATGTGCAACATCAGCAAAGTGGCCACCAGCTTCCACGAGGGCGACCGCAGCACGCTGGCGGAGATCGAGGACGCGCTGCACCACGCGTTGCAGGGGCTGGAGGCCCTCACCCTCCAGCTCCCTGACCCCACCACCACCTCTGCCCACACACAGCCGCCAGGCGTCTCGAGCGACACACGTGCGAGACTGGCCGTGACTGGGCCAGACATCCCGCCGCCGCAGCGGGGCCGAGTCCAGCGGATCGAGGTCTTTGCCAGAAGCTGGGCTCCTTCAGTTACCCCGGAGAAGGTTGAGGGCGAGGGGGTTGCGGTCAGTGAGCCCACAGCAGCACCCAGTGAGCCATCCCCGGCTCCTGCACTCGCCCAAGCACCAGCTCCGGATCCATCGTCACCCAACGCGCAATCAGCAGCAACGGCAGGCCGTAGCAACATGTCGAGCGGGGGGTCGGCGCGGGGCGGGGCGGTCCTCAACAGTGTCCCTGGCGTGCGTCGACATCCTGCGACCAACGCCCCACCACCCCCACCACCCTCAGTGCGAGTCAACCAACACGAGATCCCCCTCTACAGAAGCCTATTCGGGTGCGCGTGTGGGTCAGGTGTTCGATCCACACCATTTTATGTGTGTGTCTCCCTGTGTCAGAGCGGCAGGCGGTGATTGCCTGGGGTTCGTCCGGCACGGCAGGGCGAGACAGATCCTACTCACATTGGGCATAAATGTGGCAGTGGCTGACCAGGCATGGACAATGCACAATGCGCACACGCATACATAGAGTCGTCGAGACGTGTTTGTCTGCCCGTGTGTGTGCGTGTGTGTGTGTGGTGGCGGTTATGGTCGTCCAGATTCTTAGATTGGTCACCCGTAACAAGAATGGGCTCGGCTGGGAGGAGTTCGCTATGGCGTGCCGGCTGGTGGCCTTCGCACAGAGCCCAAACCAGCGTGGTGGGTGTTGAGAGAGCGACCCATACACCATCCAACACACGCCGATGGATGGATGAATGGATGGATGTCTCTATCAGATCCTCCCCCCCTGCCCAGATTCCACCTCTCTCCTCGCCGCTCCGTCCGTCGCCGCTCTCCCCACCGCTCGCGATCCATCTCGTCAGAGGGCTCCCGGCCTCCCAGCCCACCACAATACAAACGATCAATACAAACGATCAATACAAACCCTCACCACCCTCACCATGACATCCCCTGCGTGCGGAGAATCCACCCGACATCCGCGAGTGTGCGTGAGGTGTTGGGGGCAGGGCGTGGTTGGCCTCGCGATGACGACGGATTGTGTCGGCGCGACCGATACGGCATTGGCCTGTCTCGCCCCTCACGTGATCCATCGGAGGCATCGTCCCGTGGGCACCTGGATGACGGCAAGGAGAGGGAGCGGGGCGGCGGCTTGGATGCGCACCGCCACGACAAGTCGACAGCTCTTCGGGACCGAGGTGAGGCGCACACGCACGGACCGTGGCAGAGACCCGCAACTATCCATGTCTTCATGTGTATGCTACAGGTGTGCCAGAGGACCGAGATCCCAGGCGTCTCGGCGTGTCGGCCTCCGCGTCTCGCCGTCGAGACAGCCCGCACGTCCTCACCCATGGGCCCATCGGCATACCGACGCCCACACGCACACAATGACCAGCAGCCCCTCTCACCCGGCCTACCGGCTTGGCCAACCAGCCTCGACGCAGAGCCGGTCAGCGTGGAGGAGTTGGAGGAGTGGCCAAGCACCGTGGACGGCCCGATGGTCCGAGTCCCCCAGAACGGCATCTGGCCGGGAGAAGACCCCCAGCAGCATCAGGGCAGTGGTGAGGACGTGACGGCACTGGCGCGGTACCTCATGGCCGAGGAGGAGGGCAAGACGAGCGGCGTGGGTGGGGGTCGTCGTGGAGAGGGGTGGGGCAGCGGAGAAGGCTTGGGGTCTGACGGCGGTAGAGGTTGGGGAGGTGCTAGCTCGAGCGGCGATGACCGCACAGATGGAGGCAGGCCACGAGGCAGGGGCCAAGGGCGAGGGAAGGGGAGAGGGAGGGCGGCCTACCACCAGACGACAGAGAGCGAGGAGCCGCCCGACGCCAACGCTGGGCGGGGGAGGCACATGAACAAGCCTGCATGGCTGGTAGAAATGGAGAGAAACAGCAAGGCCGACTGACTGACTGACTTCCATGCCTACATACACACACATACACATACGTGGCTGTGTGTGTATTTGAGTGTGTAGTGTGTGTATGTGTGTGATGAATGGTGGGCGGTGCCTGGGGAGACCGCTCTTGTCGGCGGCGGATGGCATAGCCAGCGAGGGGTGCGCCTGCTACTTATGCGTCGGCGGCTGGCAGGCCAGACGTGTGCTTGCACCACCATGGATATTGCACCGCCGCACACGAGACTGCTGCAAGCTGATGGGTGGGTTCTTCCCTCTTCGCTTACTCTCTCTCTCTCTCTCTGATGGACTGACTATGGTGTACAGATGATGGCCAGCGGAGAGAACGAGGGAGCAGGTTTTGCTCCCATCTTGCGTGCCTGCTGGCCGTCACACGTTCACCCACGCGCAGCAGTCCAGTGCTCAGTGGGTGAAACCGCCGACGGCCCGGCACACTGTGCATAGGTATGGACACTTCTATGGCTTGCTGTGCGTGTCTGCTTGACATTGCCGTGAACACCGAGGGCGTGCACCTTCACTCATAGCGCTTCACCTCGCCACACAACACCCGTCGTAGATCAATACAACCGACACACCCACACTCCTGTCTGGTTGTATTGATTTACGACGGGTGCTGTGTGGCGCGGGAAGCTGCCCGCCTGTCTGCCCTCCTGTCTGTCTGTCTGTCCGTCTGTCTGTCTGTCTGTCTGTGTCTTTACGGGTGAGCTGTGCTGTGTGGTTGGGGCAGGCAGGCAGACAGACAGGGAGGGGGAGGAAGGGGTGAGGGGTGAGGGAAAGATCATGTCAACATCACGTAGGTGTTAAACCCGAACACGTATATATGATATACGTGTTTGGGTCTAACACGTACGTGATGTTCGATGTGACCTCCCTGTCTGCCTGCTTCCTCCTGCATCTTTCAGTGGGTGAAACTGCCGGCGGGCCGGCAGATTGTGCATTGACCACATGTGTAGAAGCGTACACAGCTCACTCTGTTGCTTACGCGTTTGTGTAAGCTGTGTACCTATACATACGAATGAGGGTCTGCATGACATTCCGTGGATCGCGTCTGTAGCTCTTGCATGACATTTCTGCAAGAGGTCGTTGCATGGCTGAGGGGCGGAGGGAACGTGGCTGCCTTGTCGCTGCACACAGTACACTCACTCACAGACCGTGGAAAAATGATGGGTGGGGGTACAAAGTTGCGATGCTTTGCTGCATTCTTTGCTTTCATTGGCTCAGCTCCTGGCTCGCATCATCACAAAGCCCGTCTGATGAATGCGATCCCTTCCTGTCGACCCTGCGAGCTCAATTTGCGAGCTTAGCTCAAGTCCGAAGATCTGCCATCAGGTCTGCGGACTGCGTTGTCGTGATGGCGATGGATCCCCGGTTTGATCCGTCCAGCAACCCGCGCTTCAAGAAGGCGCCGCTCAAGACCAGGAGGACCCTCATCGATGACAGATTCCACAGGTACAAAACACGCACCAATCCATCAGTCCATCCATCGCCCCCATTGATCCCGCCTGTGTCTGTGTGGCTGTCAGGATGTTCGATGACAAGGCCTTCCAGACGCACACGGTGGTTGATCCCTACGGCAGACGCAACAGGGAGGTCAAGGCCGACGACATGCGGCGCTTCTACCGAATGGAAAAAGACGATGAAGAACCGACAAAGGGCCACAAGCCGGCGTGTGTCATGAGTGTGTTCTGCAAGTTTGTGGTGGTTGGGTTTCTCTGTGTCTGCGACGAGTTCGCTGCCATCGCCTGAGCGAAGGGCAGGGAGGCACTTGGCGACACAGCGGCCGGCAACAGGGCTGATTGGTGACAGTGACAGGCAGCTACCTGCTGAGTCAGCCAATGGTGCTGTGTGCCTTTCATCCGCCACCTGTGGCGGTGGTGCCACACAGAGCATCCGCCACGCTGTCCTCTATCAGTACACCCACATCACCATCGACAGCTCCACAGCTGCAGCCCGCCAGTTCTGGGAGAGCATGAGGCCTGGGGACGCTTTCGACTTCGGCAAACAGCTCCTCAATTTGACAGCCCTCACCCTCGTCCAGCCACCCTCCGACCGGTCGTGGTGCCTGGAGAACATGATCAGCATAGTGGAGGGCCATGCTGCTGGGCGGCACGAGACGTGCGAGAAAGAGGGCCAGCAGCACATGGGGGGCAGTCTAGAGACCATCGACTTCGCCACCGACACCAACACCAACTCCAACTTCGACACCGGTTTGTACGTCTTCCGCACAGCGCGGAGCCGGAGCCGGCAGCCCTCTTCCTCTTCCTCTGCGTCTTGCCCCCTCCTCCCCTCGCTCAAGAGCGTCACGGGAGCCCTCCGAGACCACCGTGTGCTGGCCGAGAGGGGGTGGAAGATGCCCGCTCTCGAGTGCATGGAGGTGGAGGAGTGGGATGCCGACGCGCTAGGCCGATTCATCGGGTCGTCGTCGTCGCTGAGGCGGGTGGGGGAGGTTTGGCGGCGGTTTTCGTATTTGAGGGTGAGACCGACCTGGAGGGAGTGGGCGGCCGTGTTTGCGCACTTCCCCAACGCTCCTCCTGGGCAGCCGGGGCCCCTCAGACACCTGCAGACCTTCGAGGGGCTCAGACACCTGCAGACCATCGAGGGGATGGAGCACGAGCTTGGAGAGACCTCGGAGCAATGCCTGGAAGGAGTCAAGCGACTGCAGGCAAGCACCCATCACACTGTACAGAGAGGCGTGATACATACGGATGTGTGTACACATACGAATGTGTCTCTCTCTTTGCATCTGTAGGAGGCGCTGACATCGCGCGGGTGTCAGAAGTCGCTCAAGAGGCTCGACATGGAGATCCCACACTTCGGGGACCGCGGCGGCCTCTCTGTCCTGCTCGCTGTCGACGGTTTCATCGACACATGCTGTGTGTCGCCGGACGTCCCCGTCACAGTGACGTTCACCGGCGGTGCCCGCCAGGATTTCGACCTGTCACTTTTCTACGCCAACGACTTCCCCCGTCGCGCATCCCCCTTCATCAAGACGGCCATCCAACAGGCGGCACGGCAGGCGGGGGAGGTGTCCTACACCATCAGTCAGCACGACCTCACCCACCCCATCGACAGGCCCAGCGAGTCCGCCATCAAGATCGCACAGAGCCTCGAATCCCGCAGCGTCGAGGTGGTGGTCGCCAACGCCCCTGGCTTCGTCCCCCCTCCCGGCACCCAGCCACCCGCCCCCACTATCATCAGCCACCTGCAGCAGTTCTCCATCAGCACCCACCTGCGGCCTTTGCGGTAGTGTTGTGAGTTGCATATCGAGAGTGCTGTGGGCAGTGCTGCGGGCCGGCTTTTGGCGGAGAAGATGCCCAGGGAGGTGGGCAGAGTGAAGTTCAGTAGCGGTATCGGCCGACAGGAGATGGTGGGGGTGCTGGAGGCGCTGGGGGCGGGGAGGGAGGTGCACCGTGTCCAGGTCGGTGGCTCACTCGGCGGGGATCAGGTCAGTGTCACCCAGAGCGGCGCCTTTGACGGATGGGGGTCGAGTAGCCTGCCAGCGAACGTGCCAGCGATTGGCACTCTACAAATGTACCTCTCAGGTATGCCGACAAGGCAGTGAGCTCAGGAAGGTGCTTGTCTGTCCACCTTGTGTGTGTGTGCATCCGCCTTGTGTCTGTGTCTTCCTCCATTCAGTGCCCGACGGCTTGGAGCCCTTTGACGCTGCCGAGCGCATTCGCCGCGGCCTCACGTCTCTGCTCAACGCCGGCGTGCGTGGCCTGGGCTGTGTGACGCTGGATCTGCCGGGATGGTCTGGCGCAAATCGGTCTGGCGAGCTTCTCGATGCCATTCGACAGCTGCTCCCAAACGGCATGCGAGTGGGCGACTTCACCATCATCAGCTTCACATATGATGCCATGACCCGTCAGGGCATGCGGGTCCGGGCAGATCTGAAGGGTCATACGATCAGAGTATGAACTGACAAAGAAAGAATACGATTAATCGATAAGAGGAGGCAGGGGAAGGACTCACGGCGTTTCTGCGTATGTCTGCCTTCGTCATGGCTGGTGTGGCTGGCGTATGCGTGTGTGTATGTGTGTACATCTGATGGACCAACCGACTTCTGGCTCTGAATACATGGCGGCAACTGATGTAGTTGAGTGTCACATCGGGTCTGTGGAAGCCATTCACACATAGATTGTCAGTGAGGGAAACACACGCAACGTGCAAGATTCGCACTGGCCAGATGACCCCTCTCTGCACACACACGCACAGACATCTGAGCGTCGCTGATCGGGCTGTCGAACAACGCAGAAGCCATCCTCCATCCATCCAACGAGGAGTAGCGACACGCCCAAATCCAAGACTCACATCATCAACAACACACACGAGACAGCCCCTCCATGCACCCACAGCCGCAATTTCTTTCGTCAACGACGGCAGCATCAAACGGTCTATCCTCTTTCCCTCCCTCCTTTGTCTCTTCCTGCCTCTGTCTCTCCCTCCCTCTCTCCCTCCCTCTGTCTCTCCCTCCCTCCCTCTCTTTCTCTCTCTCTCTCCCTCTCTCTCTCTCTCTCTCTCTGTCTCTCCCTTTCTCTCTTTCTCTCTCCCTCTCTCTCCCTCTCTCTCTCTCTGTCTCTCCGTCCTGAGCTTGATCTGTCGTTGTCGAGGGAAGATGCAAGGTGGCGAGAGACCACGGGCATGTAGAGGAGGAAACCTGACCCGAATAAGGCACATGGAGAGATAGGAGGACGGGATGGCCTCGGGTGCGGACCTGCTATGTGCCTCGTGGTGTGTGTTGTGTTACCACGGCTGAGTGTGACGGCACTATGGGTTGTTTGACATTCTTTTGCCAATGGAAGGGTCTTGAATGAATTGTGCCGCCAGCATCTCCGCTGTCTGCGGCGCCTCCACCCAGCCGTGTCCGTCACACCGGATGAATGGATGGATGGATTTCATGCAGACAGCAAGGAACCCATGGATAAGCGCGGCGAGATATTCATGGCGAGAAAAGGCGTCGACGAGAAAAGGTCCTCGCGCAGAAGAGAGCACACATGCCCAGCAGCAGCACCAGCACCCACGACCAAAGTCTACGACCCGTCGGCGCGGATCAGGCGCAGCCGTCCCCTGGCCAGCCGTGCCCATCGCAATACCGTCGCCAGCAGCACCACAGCAACAACATGGCGACCAGCAGCAGCAGCAGTAGCAGTAGTAGCAGCATCCGGTTCAGCAGCAGCAGCAGTAGGGCGGTGTTTGAGGGAGGGGAAGCCGCCATCGTTGGCGAGGGGGTGACGGGCGTCGTCAGGGCAGCCCGGCTGCAGCAGGGAGGGCGTGAGCACGAGGCGGCCGTCAAGATGGCGTTCGTCGGCGACCCGGCGGACCCAGCGTGGGCCAAGAAGGAGAGGGAATTCGAGGTCGAGGAGGAGCGAATGCGGCAAGCGGCCGGCCGCTATCCCTTCCTCCACCTGCTGGCCTCCGACACCGACCCACAGAACCCCGCCATCGTCACCGGCGCCGACGGCAGTAGGAGGGAAGCCCTGTGCATAGCGAGTCCACTGCTTAGCGGTGAGTGGGTGGGTGGGCTGCACTGCACGGCACACAGAGAGTGTCGGTCCTTCTAGAAGACAACGACCATACCTCTGCTCTCGTGCTCGGGTGTGTGTTGGTGTTGGGTGTGCAGAGGACAAGTGGGTAGAGTTGAGTGTGTTTTTTGGCTGGCGCCCGGCGAGGCCTGGCAGCAAGGGCGAGACCAAGCACAACGTGGTCGACGCCTGCGAGGCATTTGCATTTGCCAAGGAGGGCAACACCCCAGAGGCGAGGGCGGAACTCTGGCGTGAGACCATCATCATCACACGCGCCCTTCTCCTCGTCCTGGAGGCCCACGAGGCGGCATACTCCCTGGGCATGCTCCACCTTGACGGGTTCTGCAACAACATCATGCTCCCCCGAGCCGCCCTAGAATCCCCAACACCCTCAGCATCAGCAGCATCGGCAGCGGTGGCAGCAGATGGCGGCGACGAGCAGCGCGCCAAGGCCATCGACTTGGTCAATGTCATAGTCGCCAAGGCCAGGGCCGAGCACTCCATCCCACCCCCAGACCATCTCGGCCCGTTCGCCGTCCTCGTGTCCACCGACTTCGAGGAGCGGAGGAAGCAGAAGCAGCTGCCCACCGGCACCGCCACTTTCACGCCGCCGGAGGTGCAGGCCGTCCTCTCAGGGCCGTCGTCGGGGGAGGGAGACGTGTGGCTGGGCGAGCCGACCCTCGCGTGGTCTTTCTGCATGCTCATCTACGCCGCGGCGCGCGGGCGGTCACTGCTCGACAGGCTGGACAATCTCAAAAGGTTTATCATGGGCGAGAGGGAGTTGAGGACGGGCGAGAAGCTGCGTCCCAGACAAGCCCAGGAAGAGGCGGAGGCGACTCTGCTGAGCAACTGGGAGGACTTCACGCGCGAGGGCGCCCTGGTCATCACCGACCCCAACCACCCCATGGTCGGCCTCCCCTCATTCCCGCCAGAGGGCTGCGGCCACCACATCGACCAGGGGCTGTGGTACCTGGGCAACGAGCAGGGCGTGGAGTGGCTGACCGAGTGGAGGAGGAGGCTCACCGCGATCGCATACACGACTTTGGAGGACCAGCCCGGCCAGACAAGAGAGGAGCGGGGCGGCCTGGTGGCCGACCAGTCGAGGAGGAGCACTCTCAAGGAGATCCGGGACTCGCTGGAGGCCGTACTGGCATTCCTGCAGTCTCCAGAGGTGCTCGACGCCGTCAAGAACGGCACCGCCTTCGTCGCCCCGAGGAAGCAGGAGGTGCAGAGGGTCGCGGCCACGCCGCAGCAGCCATCCCTGAGCCGCAGCACCATCCCGCCCCACCACCCCGCCAAGGCGCCCCACCGCCTGGCCATCCCGGCATCCCTCCCGCCTCCCACGCCAGACGGGGACTGTGTAGATGTGGGCAACGACGAGGACGAGAGTGAGGAGCCCGCCCCCACCAGTCAGCCCCACTGCACGGCCCCACAGCCCCATTTCCCTTGCATCGCACCGCCCCTCCCTCGCTCAGCTGGCGATTGCGTAGACGTCGGTGAGGAAGACGATGAGGACGACCTGCCACCCCCCGCCCCAGACGCACCGCCAGACACGACCACACCGTCACCACCGCCAGCACATCCGTCCACACCACCACCACCACCACCTGCTGCAGCTGCTCGGCCAGTGCCTTCCCTGCCGGTCATCTTCGGGCCGCACGGCGTCCCGATCCCGGCGCACCACATCCCCTTCACGGCGGGGGCACCCAAGCTGGTCAGCGTGGGGGGGCACCACGTGCAGACGGGATGGGTGTGGAACCCGTTCACGGAGGAGCGGGAATGGTGGCAACCCAGCGCCGCCTACCCAGGTCTCTGGGAGGTGCGATCGGCCCGCCAGGATCTCTCCATGAGGAGCTGGGCGGCACTCAGCTGCATCAAGGAGGGCGTCGAGACCATCGGCAAGGCCATCGCGGGCGTCTTCGGAGGAGGGCAGTGAGTCAGAGAGATAGCTGGTGCCGTGAGTGAGCGAGAGGGTGCTGCTGCCGCTTGCTGCTGTGAGTGATAAGAGAGTCGCCACACACACACAGACACACACACCGACCACACCGACGTGGTATGATGGGGGGAGGTGACACAGCCGCCACACACACACAGACACCCTCACAGACCACACACCCCACAGACAGACGACTACCGTGTGCAGTCAGTAGGTAGATAGCACACCCTGCCACAGGCTGCTGGGGGGGGGGGGGGGGGGGGGGGGGGG